GAATGAGGAGGAATTTGGAAATACTGCAGCATTCACTGTAGAAGGTAATAGTGCAAGTAAAAGAGTTGAAGTTAGAACAGGCTTGAGAAGGGAAGTGGTCCTGTGGGCTGAAAAGCAGCATTCCCTGAGGCAACTAGATGTAAGCCCATGTGTTTTGGATGACTGCTGGTGAAATCTGATAGGTAGAAAAGGCTAAAAACTAATTCTGTTTGGAACCAGGAGATATTAAAATGAGGAGAACTTTTTCAAGGAAATTCTGGGTATATGTAATGCTGTACTTGTTTTCAACCTAAGGCTATTCTCAGTTATGCTGAATCTAACTCCCAAATAATCACCTCACGGAGTAAAAGAAATCAAAAAGTGCTTCAGGGAAGGGGATAGGAAGAAGCGATTTAGTATCTACACTTTACCAAGAACTATAGTGGTCATCTTATTCAACTCACAACAATCCTGCTAGTCAATATCATTTAAGCCCTTTTAGACACCAGAAAATGAACACCTAGTTAAGCAACTTCCCAGGATTGGATGTCTAACACCACATGTACTCCTGTGTTTCTCTGGATGGCTTCCATCCAGTCATGGTTGTGGCTTCCTGGAATATCCTAGGCCAGAGCTCTCTGATGCCAGACTTTTTGAGCTTTATATCCTTGTTGCTCAAAGTGTGACTCTTGGACCAATAGCATCATGCCTTCTGGGACCTACTGGGTTATAATCTGCATTTTAACAAGATCTTAAAGTGCACATTCAAGTACATATGCACCTTTTACAAGATACAATGCTGCCTGACCTTTTGGTTTAACAGAAATGATTACAAATTCCTAGATAGTCATTCTTAAACTTTTTTCATTCATGAGACCTGCTAAAGATCTAAAGAAAACTATGGACCCACAGCTGAAAAAGAATTCTGTGCACTGATACCCACACTTGTATTTACTTGCCATGGATAGAGACTCCCTGAATCCTATGTTTAAAAAAGCCAGTTTTGTGAAAGTGGATGCCAGGTTAGAAAAGCTTTTGAGTGATGACTAAGGTAATAGAGAAATCAAAACCAGCATAAATAGTTAGCAAAGGTTAAAACCAAAAGTGAACTCTTTTCCACTAGCAGATCTCGTTATAAAAGTTGAGTTACTTCTGCGGGCCTAGAAATTGACAGAAATCTTTCAGTCCCTTAGTGAACATGACAAATTCTCTTCATTCTTTTCTCTCTTTATGTGTTTCTTCACAGTTGACTTTATTAATAGTTATTTGAAGTTTTACTGTGCTATAATATGGATGCTAAATGTCCCCCAAATGTCCATGTATTAAAGGCATGGACCTCAGCATGTCACTCTTGGAAGGGGTTGGAATCTTTGCGAGGTGGACTGTTATGGAAGATCTTAAATCTCTGGTGGTATTATGGGTATTATGGGGCTGTGATTTCTTCTTCTTCCACTTCTTTGTTTCTCAACCATAAGGTAAATAGTTTTGCTCCACACCACAGGCTCCTGCCATGATATGCCACCTTGTCACAGGCTCAACAGCAGTGAGTCTGCCTTATCTGGGACAAGAAGCTCCAAAACTGTGAGTCAAAACAAACCCTTCCTCTTCGCATCCTCTCAGTTTCTTGCAGTGGTGGGAAGCTGAGTAACACAAGTCCCAATGCTGAGATCTTCCAAATTGATAGAGATGTTTTTTCTAAAATGATGTTTGGAACTCTTGCTCTTAGGGATGTTTAAATATAATTTCAACTATGTTTTCAAGGTTTCGTTGTATATTGCAATTTTCTCTTATTGACCATAAAGTTTGCATCAAAAAGTAATTTTTGATATTGAATAATATCTGAACATTCCCCAAACTTTTTCACCATTTATTAGAGTTTCAAATACCATGCAGTTATCAAGTATTGACTACATTCTTTGCCCTCTACTTCCTATCACTGGATATGCGAGGGAGGTCTATCTCCAGCTCAAGTTCTGGAGCAATGTTTTGGCAAGTAGCAATATTAAAATAAAGTAGCATCCATCCTCCCCTCTTCAATGCAGTCTTGGTCTTATTCAAGTCTTTACTAGTAACTTGTCCTAATTTTACTTGATCATTAGTAGTGCCTTTTTCCTATTATTAAAAAACTACTTTGTTGGTTTTGAATTGTGATAACATCCTCTCTCTTCCTGTCACTACGTCTAGAAAAGGATTCATCATTCATATAGTTTCATGTATAGAACTCATAATATGTGTTCCCTCTGTCCCCATGTAAATTTATTTTCAAAATTCAGAAAATATTATAACTAATTACAGTTTCAAAAAAAACTACCCAAAATTGTTAAGTTTACAGAGGACAAAAATCAGAACTATCTGAATTATTTATATCTACATAATGATTTTGACTTTCTTTAATAAGTCTGAAAAAATATTTTATATAAATAACTGACCAGTAACTAATAAGCAAATTTTAGTAAATCTGAAAAAGATGCTATTTAAACAACTACAAAATTACATCACTGAGGTCACATTCTATGTCATTTTTCTTCAGTTTTAAGTCAAACATGAACAAATTTCAAAGTTAAAGATACTAATCATATCTAACAAATTACTTCATGTTGAAATTTGAATTGGCAAAACTATTATACCTCAAAGTGTTACTGTAGATAGGTAAGTTAATTAGATTATTTTGTAGGCAGTTAGACAGGGCCACCCTCAGATACCAGCCCTCAAGGAGTCAATACAGCAAGGAGTCAACATGGAGGACAATTAAGGCACATTTACTGGTTAGTATTATATAAAGGAGAAAGGTACTACTTCCTTATAGATAGATCACAGTGACAATATTCTAAATGGGAAATTCTTTGTATGTGACTTGTTTTCCCATTTCATTCCTATTTAATCAATATTACCTGGGTGACTGAAGTTGTAATCTTATTGATTGATCATGGTTTTGCCCCACCTCATGCCCACCTTGTAATTTTCCATTGGATCTTACAGTTTTGTCCCACCTTGAATCCATCTCACCTCGTGGCTTTGCTCCATAAAACCCCCCTGGGAAATAGGGTCTCGGGCAACCCACTTTCCAGTCCCCCTGTTGTCTGTCTTAGGCAGAAGCTATCTTTCTCTCAATAATTTTTTCCTACTCTTAACCTCCATTGTTCCTAGAATTCATTCTTCAATTTTAGAGAACACGAACTTGCATTTTGGATATCTAGCAGATTTGGGAGTTCCATCTCTTCCCTATATCAGTGTCCTCTCTTGGCTGAAGTGAGATTCATTTTTTTCGTCTTCAAAGTCAGTGCGCTATTATTGTTCATTTTACTATCCAAGGCTATGCAGGACCAGAGCAATGGAAATGGCGTCAACCATGCCCAGAGCTGCTATGAACAAATTTGAACTCTTCAGAAGCAACTGTCATCCATCAGGGTTAAAGGTCATGTAGCAGATGCCACCAAATTAATTTTCTTGTAGCATGCAAGTTTATTAAAGAATGTATACAAATATATGCTAATTAGCATATTATATTTATATTATGTTTAAAAATGGTAAACTGAGAAATAGCTTAAAATTTAGGCCAAAAAAGTTTTTTGTTTTCTTTCTTAGAGGAGAGTATAACCCCTGGCATTGTTTACACAGTAATTGCTGGAAAGCAGTCATTGTATGAGTCACTTTCTGGTAGCTGGGACAAAATACTCAATCTGAAACTTAAAGGAGGAGGGGTTTATTTGGCACATGGTTTCAGTGGGCTCAGGCCAATCACACTCTTCTAGGTCATTCCTCAGCCACCAGTCTCCAGCAGGACCATCTCCTAACTGCACATTCAACTACAAACTCAATGGATTATTCTGCTAATGAATGTAGCACCCTGTGATCCAATCATCTCCCAAAAGCCCCACCTCTGAAAACATGAGACTTTGAAGGAGCATTTTAGCTTCCCACCATAACCCTGACTATTATCATTCCAGTCATCATGCAGGCAGACAGACTCCTAGGTTTAATGTTTCCATGTTCTCTACAGTGAGCTTTCTTGAAGCTTTCCCTTGGACTTTTGTCACTGGGCTTTGGTCCCAACACTTGCAGATATTTGTTCCTTGAGCACCTTTTATGTTTGTTGTCAGAAATAAAGATGACTAAGAAAATGAAGTGAATCCTTAGGGACAAGTCAGCTCTGCTGAGAAACAAGGTGTTGTCTTGGAAAACCAAGATCCTTCAGACAGGCCAAGTCGACTTCACTGTCATGACAAGTGTGATCCTTCATCCAACCTTTCCTGGCTCAGAAAGTAGAAGACCTCTTTGTTAGGGGAAAGGGCTCCCATGCTTTGCAAACCTACTCTCTCTCTTACCAATAAAAAAAAAATCTCTTCCACAATGGCCATATTACCTATCAAAAAAATCATTCACCTGAAAACCATGGAAAGGCAACATTGTGGCATTTAGATGAAGCCTCTGTCAACTTTCTGTTTCCAGGGAAAGATGCTTTGCTGGTCCACTCTTCACAGGCAAAACACTGAAGAACAGGGTCAAGTGACCCGCAAAGGGAATAACCGTCTAAGAGCATGCTGCCTTAAGCTTGCTGTTTTGCTTCAAGTGCCTCATAGGAAGCATGACTTTTTATATGCTGCAATGTGGATAAAAAGTCTAGGATTTTCACTCTGTAATAAACTCTGGAATACCAGGAGCTTACAGTATATTGAAAAGAGTGGATTTCTTTTCAGATGATAAGTTTACACCAATGCTATTAATAATGTGGTGTACAACAGCTGCTTTTATTTATTCATAAATAGAGCATGAACATCTTGTCAGAAGGAGAGGATTTTCTTTTACTATAAAAAGATAATTAATTCAGGCTGGATAAACTTAATGATGCATTTACCATCTGGGCAAAGCAAACAAAGCACCAGAATGGAATTGTTTGATGAAAAAAAAATCAAAATATGAAATAAGAATACATGCTTAAACTTTATTTTCATTTCTCGAATAACAAATAATTTCCACCCCAATTATTATACTCATGCTTATTTAAAAAGACATATAAAGGGTAATAGGGCATAGAAAAATACACAGCTGAACTTGAAAAAAGTTTCAGGTGGTTTCTTTTCTTTTTTACACACCAGTGACAAAAATAAATATTTCCAAGGCTCTGCACCTCTTCTTATCCATGCCCATGGGACACAAAAACTCTTATCTAATAAAATAATGTAGATAAAAGTGCTTTGTGAACTTTAGAGGATCGTAAATGTGTAAAAGGATTCTTATCATTTCCATCAGGCTGGTGTGCCCTTACTTCAGTGCTCACAGGTGCATCAGGGGCTTTGACTTTATTACTTCAAGTTGGGAAACTGAAGTTGGCTGATGACCATTACCTTTGAAAACCGTTGAGAAAGATGGTGCTTATCATGAAGAACTGTGGCTGCACAGGCCCCCCTTTCACCTACAGGCTTTTAGCTGTCACTTATTCTGCATTGTCATCTTTCTTAGCTTCTCCTTAAGCATATCAGCTTTCATGTCTTCTAATCCTGTGCAGTCTGTCCTGATTAAATGCTTTGTGCCAAAGCTTCCTCTCTCTACCCTGTCATATCTTTCCTTTCTAATTCCTGTTTCAGTTGTGCCTTGTCACGCCCTGAACACTAACTTCCTGCTCCTGTCCCTTCCTTGACTCTATTTTACATGATGAAAATCACTGGGATCCCTTACATCAAATGGCCCTCAGTGAGACATGACTTAGAATGTTCATCTTGCAAGGAGCCTTTCCTCTGGGAAGACTTTGAGAACACACCAATTTTGACTGTCTGCAGAGGACAAGACAGGACTTACACATCAATTCTCTGGACATCAGCCTCTCAAATCACATGAGTTATAAACGTTGTGTTGACAGTGAATGAGTACTTGCTTGCCAATGTTTCTCTCCAAGTGTTGCAAGGGATTCACTAAATGACTCCTGTGGTGAAGCTTCTGTAAGATGATGCTATCAGAAATAATTTTATGAACCTGGGATTTAGTGCTTAAGGAGATTTTGATTTCAACTCTTCCCTTGACAGTAGAAATGATGCCTCCAGTATTTTTAATGCATGTCAGAATTTTTTAAGCATGTTTCTTTTGAAGGATGTGGAACATTCTTTAATAAAGCCTGTGAAATCAGTGGACATTTCTAATACTTGCTTTCTCTCTTGGTCTTTTTCTCCATTCTGGTCAGTCCAGAATTTCTTGAGCTCTCTGAATATCCATGGTTCCTGACTCAAGGCCTTGGCGGGCTGTTTCTGCAGTGAACTCTTTCTGCTCTCCCAGACAATTCCTAATCAAAATCCATGATAAACTCTGCTATCATTTCTCAAAGAAACTCTCTGCTTGCTTAGATAAATCTGATCCTCCCTGGTGTCCTTCATAAAAAGGACAGCACCCAAATGAGGACTTGGATGATTCATTGGATATTGTGACACTCCTACCAGACTGCAAACTCCATGAGGGTTGGGACTGGGGCCTTCCTATTCACAGCTGTAACTGTAGCACCTAGCATTATGTTGGCATACAGTAGCTTTTCAGTGATAAGATTCCAATATGATCAAAGGGATGAAATCCTCAATGAAAAAGCAATGGTAACAATGATACACAAAAACAACTTGTAGGATGATGTTAGATTCTCTGAAAGGGTCAACACTGTTTGCAAAAGCAAAATATACAATTTTGAACTCTGCTTTTGTGTAGCAATTTCCTCTTCAATTCCTCTAATAGTTTATTTCAAAATGCATTATTGAAGAAGTAAAATATAGGCTAAAAGCATGACCATTAATAATTCATTTATTTCTTTGATGTTACATCAGATAGATACAATTATGACTAGAGAATTTCATAATGTAGCTGAAGTTTACCTCGCATGATAAATTATTTGCTGAGGACATAGTTCAGTCATCAGACACACTCAGAAACATTAAACAAAATCTCTATGGAAATGGTATTGGCTTTGGGCAAAATATTTGTATGTGACATGTGTACATTATCCATGACTTACTTATGACTGCAGAGAGCTTACATCAAGGCTGATAAAATACAAAAGGAGTAAAAATGCATTCTCTAGTATTTCTTTGTTGGGTGGGGAAGAGAGAACAGTAACACTACTTGATTTTCATATTGTATATATGGATTTGACCATATGAGTTATTGAATTTGATGGCATCAGCAGTAACACATCAAAACATATAACCCCTCTTGAAAACTGTAGCAATAGCAGCAAAATGAAACAATTCTCTTGATTCCCCTTTCTAAGAAAAAGAATGAGAGTATATAAAATTAGACTTGTAGTCAGGTTTTAAAATTCTCTTGGCTCACAAATGAAGTATTGGTTCTGCCTGTGTTTCCATATCTCTTGCCTTCTAGTCCTTTTGGTTTATTGCCAGAAGAAGAGAGCTAATATTCTCTCATCTCTCTTCTCTTTTCCTGAAATTAAGAAAATGCAAGAACATAATTCTCCCTTATGACTTTGACTGTAAACTTCATTTCTATTAGGCTTACCTATATTGTTTGAGGTTGATATATAATTTTGTGCTTTTCTTGTATATAATGTATGGCAAATATTTTCCACATGTAGGACAGTAGGTGAGACCTGAACCCAGTATTTTCTAGGTAACTGACACTGGGCTGGTCACTGAAGGAAGGCAACTGAAGAAGGGTGTATTTGGAAATAACAAAGACTGACTGTGTGAAGAGTAAAGTATGAAAAATAAAATTGAGATTATTGTATATTTTATTTCTTTAGTACATTAAGAAGTTGTAGATCAGGACTGGGAAGGCAGTTCAGTGAATGAGCACTTGAAGTCCGGGACTCAATCCCTAGCAGTGAAAATAAAGGCTACAGACCCATCCCCGGAGTTTCTTAAGACCAACTGAATTGATTGATATTAAGTAACTAATGTGAGAAGAATTATATTCTGAATATTGGAAAATTCCAAATTTTAAGCACACTATACGTTTATAAAACCAAAAATGTTACTGGTAATATGACTGGCATTATTATTTTCCTTCTCCCTCCACAACAATCAGAGAACTAACCTTTATCTAAGGATTAGATTGGAAACTTAAGAAATAAATGAAATTATGGCTTTTTCCTACTTTCCACCAACAGAAAAGCTAGAAATCTTGCAAATTTTAGAGTATAATGCAAAAAAATAAACCATTATAAAAAATTATAAGCAGAAAATCATAAACAATTATTTTCTGTCAGACTACAATGAATCAACAGTTTTTTGGTTTTTTTTTTTTTGAATCAACAGGTTTTAAAAAGAGATTCTACAAATACGGCAAACAGAATTGTGAAAATAAAATACCTCTACTTTGGGAAGCATGAAATATAAATATAGTTGCAACTATTCATTTTCTGTACATTTTTCTATCTTTCAGTGAAGGTTTTTATTTCCACCACCACTTAGGATTTACTGATAGTCATTATATGCCAAGTATTGCAATGTATTTCTTTCATAACAAGTGCTTTACATTTCAATAACCGAATTACAGAGTAAAGTGGAGGGCACATGCATAGCTCCTTTTTTTCTCACTGGTAGCCAATTTTTCCCGAGGGTGCTGCACCAAACCCAGAAGTAAATGAGGGCTGGTAATCTGAATCCAGTATAGCTCTTGACCTCTGGTGTTGGTTGTGCCCTACTTACTACGTAATTTGACTATCACCCTTGAACAAATGCCCCTATTTTCCTATGAGAGGTGAAATATCAGTGCAATTTCAATTGATAAAAGAACCCTATAATTTTATTTAAAATTTTATACTATATTACAAATATGTACAACTTTATAATAAATTAAAATAAGTTTCAGAGAAGTTCATAGTAACTATGTCACTCAAAGACATTTTTTCTGATGTCATTTCTAAGAGTTCATCTGATCCAGTATCCTGATCATCTTCTTGCTAGAAAAACTTGTTTTGGTAGCACATTTTATATGCAGAGTGTTTTGTTGGCTGTAAGCAATGGGAAGATGTTTGTTAATAATAGAAACACTGAAGATCAATTGCAATCAAGAAGTGTTGATGAACATTTGTACTATATGTACAAAACTCTGCAGAAATTCTGCAATATTTTTTTCCTCCAGTTCCTCACATTCTTTGCATCCAGATTCTGTTACATTCTGCAAATAAAAAGAAAAAGTTAGATTGACAAGTCCAGTATGCTTCTTTCCTGAGAAAATATTATTTGAACCATATGGTCAGGTCTTGAGACATGAAAATGTGGGGAAATTAATATCATATTAGGAGGAACTATGAGAAAAGAGAATTGCAAAATATGATATGGGCTTATTTTTCCTATAGTGAATCATAGTCATTGAAAAAAAAATTAACCATGTCTATCAGACCATGGGCTTCCTGCTTAAAACCCTCTGATGGTTTCTTATCATCTACTCCTGGTATAAAGTCAATGCCTCACTGCATGGTACACAGGCCTTCTGTGAGCTCCTCCTCAACTATTTCTTTCACTTTTCCCCATTGCCTCTGTTTTAGTTACTATTTTGTTGCTGAGACAAAACAGCTGACACTCAAAAGTAAAGGAGGAAAGGTTTATTTTAGCTCACAGTTTATAGAGGTTCTAGTCCATAGTTATTTAGCTTTAAGGCAGGACAGAATGCCAGAGGGCTATTTCAGAGGAGCAACAGTCCATGGCAGAGCAGACAGGAAGCAACAAACCTGCCTTTTTTTCTGTCTCTTTATATTTCATCTAGGTTATAAGCCTATTCAGTGGTGCCACTCACACCAAGGGTGGGGCTTCCCTCTTTAGTAAATCTATTTTGCACACCCAGAACTATGCTAATCTAAACAGGGGACTAATCTAGATGTCACATGCCCTTTATCAATAGTCACATGCCCTAGATCCAGCCACCTCTGAAAAGCCCCACCTCTGAGCATTATGAGACTTTGAGGGGACATCCAGATACAGCCATAACAGCCTCAAACATCATACTCTAGGAACACTGAATGAGCTCCCACTTCTACTTCCTATGCGTACATCATGATACTGAATGCTCTTTTGCCTTTGTTTCTAAGTCTGTGACATTCTTCTTTTTTTCCTGCTGCTACACACCCTAAGATTATTCACGTACAACCTCTTTTAGGAAGGAGCTTCCCTGAAACTCCAAGCTCCTAGGCTGAGTTTTATATTCCATCACCAGATCTTAGAACTCTTTATTTGGACTTATCTCATAAAACCTCATGTATTATATTCATATTATGGAATTTTACCCTTTTTACATTATTAGCCTCTAAATTCTCCTAGGAGGACAAGGCCACATATTTCTGTTTCTCTATCACTAAACACAGGGGTTGACACAGAGTAGCCACTCAATCCTTATGGGTTGGGTTGATCCATTTAGGTAGATCAGATAACCAATTCACAGTAATTCAAACACAATCTCATGGATAACTAGAATATTCCAAATGTATCAAACACAAATAAACAAATTTTAGAGACCACCCAAACCATGAAGCCTACACCAGCAAAAATCAAAATTAGATTTTACATCCATTAAGCCCTTGGAATTCAGATTCTTCAGTATTTATTGAGCACATCCAGTGTGCCAGGCACTGTCATACATTTCATGCAGTGCTGTTTTGTTGGATCTTGAAAATAATTCAGAGAGGAAGGTAAAGACACTAAAATGTCTCATTTCAGCCAACACAGTCAAGTGAAACTCTGCACAACCAAGTCTTGTGGCTGTGCAGTCCTGCCTGCTCACTCCAGTACATTTGCCATACTTCATGGTGATGAGGGTGACTATCAGCATGTAGGCTAAAAGTTCTACATTTGTATGCTCACAAGTTATCCCACCGATAAGGTGACAGCACTGAAAAAGTGACATTTATGCAAAGACCTAAAGGAGCCTTCCTTTTGGAGGGAAAAGCCAAGGTGACCAGCCATACCAGCTGGGCTCACTGCACTTTCCTTCACCTGTGCCTGAACATGCTTTCCTGAAGGCATGCTTTCCATGCCATCCTGAAGGCGCAGACCTACATAGCTTTGTTACATGGCAGCTTATGAAGTTAAACTTTCTCTAAACTAGAAGCCCTGTCCCTTTTATCTGCCTTCTGTGGTGCTATTGGACTTAACACATAAGTGGCTTGTTACTTGTTTGTTTACTGATTGCTTGATTTATATTTTTCCCTTCCTAAGATCAGTGGTCATAGGTTTTTTTTTTCATATTGTAGCCTGAGGGTTAAAGAGTATTTATTAAATGAACTAATTTTATTATGCTTTCTCTGTTTATAAATTTTTTTTTGTCTGCCTTGATTTGGCCAGCATGGCTTTGCCATGAAAGCTGTAATTCTTTGTACTTCAGGATAAGAAAGACTCTTGCAGCCCACATCCAGAGTCCTTAGTATATTTGCTCTCCTGGAACCCTCTGCTACACATGCTGCCTGGAATGTCTCAAATTCTACTTAAAATATTAATTAATTTGCTTTAGTATTATCCTTTCTCAGCATTTATCTTTTCTGGAGATGAAAGGACGGACTCTGGAGTGATACTAGTTGGGTAGAAGCCCGGCTCCCCGTTTCTTAGCTGCATGAATTGGAGCAAGTGTTTCAAGCCCGCAGTGCTCCAGTTTCCTCTACCTTCAAACAGAAACAAGGATCGCCATGTTGAAAAAGAAATAGAAATAGGAATAGTGGTCTCATAGATGTACTGTGAGGATTAAACGAACTATCAATTAGCAGCCTCAAAGAAGGGTGTCTGGCACACAGTAATAACTCAATAAATGTGAATCAAAATTACTGTTGTTAAACACTTGAGTATGTAATTAATGCCCACCCACTGCACCTGTCTGCCTGGTTCACCCCTATGGCCCTAGCACTGAAGCCTGGCATTATTCATTAAATGTTTGCTTACCAAATAAATCAATGAACAGCTTAGGATTGTGTACATGCCCATGATGTGTAATCAAAATTGTAAAATCAAAATTAGATTTTTTCATCCATCAAGCACCTGGAATTCAGATTCACCAGTATTTTTCAAGTACATACAGTGCACCAGACACTGTCAGACATTTCATGCAATGGTGTTTTGCTGGACCTTAAAAATAATCATGTCAAGAGAGGAAAGCAAAGACACTAAGTGACTCATCTCAGTCCACGTAGTCAAGTGAAACTCTGCAAAACCAAGTCTTGTGACGGAACTGAATTCTGTCTTCTGAGTGACCCTCAGGAGGATGTGCTTATCTAACAATGACTTTTCCTAGTCAAGCCAAGAACATCAGCTACATCTCTGCACAAAGACTGGGAAACTCACCCCATTAGTAGATAAACTGCTATTTGCCAGGAAGATCACATTGGTTACTGTCTCACGAATGTCCACATTTCTGGACTCATGTAAAATAACTCGCAATTCCAGGAGAAAGCACTTCATTGCTGTGATTTTGCAATTGGGCTAAAAGTAAGAGTTCCAAAGAGTTATTTTGAAAAAAATATTTTTCCATTATCCATTTTAACATTGAGATAATTCCATTTGATAAAATGATCCAATTATTTTATAGACACACAATTCTTGTAAGAAATTTTATACAATGAACAACTTAATGGTTTTTAGATTTTGGCTTTGAAAATCAAAACCAACCAAACCAGTAAAGAAGCACGAAGAATGGAGTTACTGTACAGAAGAAAGAACGTAAAACTCAAAAACATGGAAATAGTTGGCTGCCTTTTCTCACTGAGCACAGTCACCCTGTAGAAAGCTTGGTGCCACTGGCCCTAGACTGCCAAAATATTAGTACATAAAGTGAACTCATAAGAATTTTTAAGCATTAGATTCATAACAGCTTAAATAGTAGTAGCTGCAAGCCAAACTCTTCTTGTAATTTCCGAAATTCCAGAGGCAGAGGAATTCCAAGAAGTTTAAAAAAAAAATCAAAGCAGAAGTAGTGCCTACTCAAAGCCTTGCCAAATCAGAAAGAAACCTTTTAAGCACCTCAAAAATGCATTTCCCACAATAGATTTTTTTAAACAAAAACCTATAGCTCAAAGAAAGAGAACTTCTAATTTAGACTTGACTATGACTTCCTGGTTTTTGACTTTAGCTTCCCAATGTCTGGCACAGTGCCTTGATCCCTATAGGCACTTAACAAATTCTTTCCAGATGAGTAAATTAATGGAAGGACTTGTCCATGTGCCTGAGATGGTAATATTCCCTCCCATCCACTATAGATGCTCAGGACCAAAAGCTAGATCCTATCACAATAAAACTGAGGTTCAGAAATGTTTAGTGACTTCTACCACAGGTAGGAAACAGTTGAGTCAGTGTTTAAATTTCAATCTCAGATTCTTTTTTAAGCCCATGAGTTGAAAGTTTATCTCTTTTGCAAAAAAGCAAGCTCAGGATGCTCAATGTTAATGGTTCCTGACTTCTCTCTGTTTAGACCAACAACAACAACAACATGTAAAAGCAAAACAGAAAGCATGCTGAAGCCAGAAAAGGGAGAACATTTCTATGTGTAGTAGCACTACCCAGGTGGTAGACGAACATCTGCTTTTCCTAGTTTGTTTTTTACTTCATCAAATTTTTAAAATTAGTTTTATTGGTCCATTTTAGGTATACAATATAATGACATTCATCATTGGAAATTTGCACCTTTACATAATCTCTCTTGGTTCTCATTTTTTCCACATTCCCCTGCCCTCCCTTCAACCCCTACATCCCCCTATTTACAAAGACTGTTTCCATTTTTCATTTTCTCATATTAATTCCATTCCCTTCTTTCCTGACTATAGCTTCTTTCTACTGCTTATATAATGTTAGTGGGGTACAACTTTTAGTTTAGAAAAGTTCTAATTGAGGCATAACAAAGAGAAGATTGTTCTGAACACATATAATGCAGTTCATTTTCTATGTGGGGAAGTTGGGGATCTGTTTCTTGGTTTTAGTGACAATCCAGAGGGAATGGACAAACAGCATGACCAAAATCCTACAAGCCTTAGGCAATGTCGGTGTATTAATGAAACAAGTTCATCACTTTTTAACTCTGGTAAGTTTTTTGGATGATGTTTCTATTCTCACCTAAAGAATACTTAGAAAGATTTTCTGACAAATGTAGAGATCTGTGCAAACTAAAGAACATGGATGCCCTTAAGCAATCTGTAGAAAATATGATTAGAGAGACGATGATACACTGCAGAACTGGAAATAACTGATATGCTGAGTACTTTTAAATTGAATCAGTTAACCCGATTGTAGCATCTAATTGCATCATGATCTAACTGCATCACAAAATGATACAATATATTTTGTTTGACATTGATGGAAAAGACATCTTTATATTCTGATTTGGCACCATTAAAAAATAGAATTCATGTAGCTTTTTGTCCCCAAGCCCCACAACTTCAACAATCACTTATAAAATGCATTGATCATATAAGAATGCACCAAAAATCACATTTGAAAATTATACATATTTCAGTTAAGTTATGAACACATGCTTCTTAGGCTTTTGAAAGTTGGACGAGTAGCAATTTAAAAAAAAATTTACTCACATGGACATCACTCTCAGTATATAAAGTAGCATCAATATGTATAGACTGAAAAGAAACAAAATTAGATAGCATGAATAAAACTGTCTTGCTTCAGACATGAGAACAACTTACTGAAAACAGAAAATTAAGCTATTTAACTTGTATTTTTATTTTGAGATAATTTTTGAGATAATTTGAGACTTATATGCAGTTGTAAGAGAAAACACACAAGAGACCCGATGTGTCCTTCCCCAAACTTCCCCCATGGTGAAGTTCTAGTTTGGATGCTCAGTGTCTCCCAAAGGTCTGCGTGTTATAGGCTTGGTGCCCCAGGTGGCACTATTGGAAGATGGTGGAAACTTTAGGAAGTGGGGCCTCATGAGAGTCCCACACATCACTGAGGTGTGCCTTCGAAAGGCATTGTGGGACACTTGCCCCTCCTTTTCCTTTTGTTTCTTGGCCATGAGGTGAGCACTTTGTTTCATCATTCACATTGGGCAGCCCCACCAAAAGCCTAAAACCAGTGGTCCACCAGATCATGGACTAGAACCTCTAAAACCGTGAGCCAAAATAAACCTTTTCTTTTCATCAGTCAGTCAATTATCTTAGACGGTTTTTTTTTTATATAGTGACATTATTATGACAAGGTTACAGAATATTGGGGCCCATTTTGTGATATATATATATATATATATATATATATATATTCTACGCTTCTTGACAAACGCATGATGACATGTTTCCACTAAAACAGTATTATACAAAATAGCTGTACTGCTTTAAAACTTATCCATGTTCATCCCTACTCATCCATTCATCCCTCCTAACCCCTGGCAGGCATTCATATTTCTATCGTCTTCATGGTATTGTCTCTTCCAAAGTGTCATACAGTCAGGATCATGTAATATGTAATTTTTTACATTGTCTTCTTTCACTTAACAATATGATGTGTAACTAAAAGACTGTTTAACTTTTAAAAAATGCATCACTGTAAAAGACCTATTGTACTTAATCCCACTCTAAATACCACCCCCTATCCCTGCTTCAAACACACTTATCCCATTATTCTTGCCAGTTTCTGAAGCAGTTCTGGAAGTCCTCTCTTTTGAGTGTCTTTAGTTGTGTTGTCACAGCTGCCTCCCTGCCCTGGAATAATCAAAACATTTACTTCTCATGGTCATTTTGACTTTGGGGAAGAACCAGAAGTCACATGGTGCCAGATCCAGTGAATAAGGCAGATGAGGACATACTGTCATGTTTTCACCAGCCTGCATTTCCAGTGAATGACACTTGCAGCACTATTCACCATAATTTTGGTCAGACTTTGTAAAGACACTCACTAAAGAGGACTGCCAGTACTGCTTTAGAAGGTGGCAAAAGCAATGGGATAATTGTATTCCAAGTGAAGGGTGTTGTTTTTAGGGGGATTAATGGCAATGCATCTTTTACTGTAATAATTTTGTAAAAATCTTAAGCATTCACTGTATACTGCTATCATCCCTTTCAAAGTTTCTCTATTTCCTTCGGTTCACAGCTTAATGGCTCACTTCTTTTTATCACTGAATATACTCCACTGTGTAAATGTAGCACAATGAAGATGAGATTTTGTCATCCAGTGTAATACACTGGAGATGCACCCGACTTCTTGTTATCCTTAGTTTGTTCCTTTTCGCTGCTCAGTAATATTCTATGATGTTACATACCAAAGTTTTCTAACTACTCACATACTGAGGCATATTTGGGTAGTTTCTAACTTTTGGAAATTACGAATGTCAATGGACACTATGTGTGTTTGTGTAAACATAAGTTCTCATTTCTCTGGGATAAGTGTCTAAATCCACATTGTTGGATCATGTGGCACTGTTATAGCTACATAATGATAGGTCATTATGCTTTAATTTATGTCCACTAAATATAATCGTTTTTGATAATTTTTCTGAAGACAACTTGGAATGATTTCTAATTTTTTTCCAATCTGCATTTCTTTAATGTTTTTTACTTCATGTCGTTTCTTCTTTATTGATTTGGCTAAACTTCATGTCAGTCATATTGGGTTAGAATCTGCCAAAATGACCTCATTTTAACTGAATTAGCTTTCTAAAGACCTACTCTCAAAATACAGTTACATTCTGAGGTCCTGGCAGTTAGGATTTTAGTTTATGCATTTGGAGGAGGGGATAAAATTCAGTCCAGAAAAGAGGAATTGTGAGCATACAATTCCAAATGATTTTTCTTATCCTTTTAATAACTACATCAGATTCTGTAAAGATAACCCCCAATTCCATTTATGATATGGATGACATGTGTCTTCTCTCTTCTCAGTCCTACTAGAGGTTTATCAGTTGTATTTTTTCCAAATGACTAGCTTTATGTTTCATTGATTTTTCCTATTCTTTTGATTCCACTTTCATTAATTTATTCTCCTATATTTATTTTCAGATTTTTCCAAATAACTAGCTTTATATATCATTATTTTTTTCTATTGTTTTCCTGAACCATAAAGTCTGCTATATCTAATATTGCCAATTCTGGTTTATTATAAAAGTAGTGTGTCCATGTATATCAGTTTTCTAGAAGTGCTATAACAAAGTACCAAATAGTGAGTATTTAAAACAGCAGGGATATACATACTCACAGTTGTGGACACTAAAAGATTGACATCAAGGTGTTCTTAAGGGCCAAACTCTGGCTGCGGGTTCTAGGGAAGAATCTTTCCTTGCCTCTGCCATGTTTCTGGTGAGTCCTCACAATCCATGGTCACCTTTGCCTGGGAGTTGTGTCAGTCTAACTCTGTCTGAATACACAGCATTCATCCTGCCAAGCTTCTCTGCATCTTATGAGGACATTAGACAGTGAATTTATGATCAATCTCTACTTTGGTATGACCTAGTCTTACTTCTCTAATTGAGCTACAAAGATGCTATTTCCAAACAAAATCATATTCTGAGGTTCCAAGTGGACACAGAATTTGGGGGTACACTATTCAACATGATACAATACGGTATATTTTCTTCTATTAATTTCAATGTCCTATTTTATTATACTTGAATTATGCTTCTCATAGATAGCCTACCTAGGGTGAGGTTTGTTATCAGCTTTGGTTTTTACTTGGTGTCCTCTCTCTCTTCTTCCTAAGAACTATAGGAATGACGGCTCTCTTGTTATTGTCCATGGGTCCCTGAGCATCCTTTTGCCCCTCAGTTTTCTCTCCAGTATTATATCTTCAGGTTGACTATCTTTTCTCTGTCATAATAATCCTGCTAATGAGCCTTTCTAGTTTGTTTTTTAATTTCAGTTACTACATTTTTCAGTTTTGTAATTTCCATTTAGTCCCCCCACCTTTTTTTGAGACACGGTCTCGCTATGTTGTTCAGACTGAACTTGAACTCATTACGTACCTGAGGCTGCCTTCAAATTTCCAGTGATCTTCCTGCCTCAGCCTCCTGAATGCTGGTATTACAGTTGTGTGCCACCACACCCAACTCCAGATTTCTTTTATTTCTTTGCTAAGACGTTCTAGTTTTTAATTTGTTTCAAGGATATCCATTATTGCTTTTTTGAAGAATTGTCATAACGGCTGTTTTCAAAACCTTGTCAAAACTGTCTTAATTCTGATTTTCATTTTCTTGGTATGATTCACACTTTTCACTTATGGCATTATAGCTATTATGTTAAGAGAGTTTTGTCCTGTTTAAATCTTCCATTTTAACATGCATTTCAAACATGCTGTTTAGATTCAGCATGCAAGTTCTGACCTACTTTTGTGTGCTGTAATTCCAAAGACAGGTAAGTTTTCAGAACCTTTTTAGGAGCTACCACTGGTGTTCTCACTGATCCTGTTGATGTCACAGCCTGGGGTAGAAGGCATTTCTCGAGGCCAGGTCACGCAATTCCCAAGGTGGAGGATGGGACAGCCTATATTCCAGTGATAAAGTTTACCTCTCCATACCACTGTGAGTGAAGCCTCTGCTCTGTACTGCTTGCCAGTTCTATTAGGCCATGGACTGGCTCTTCGTGGGACAAAAGAGTCTCTAGTCCACAAGCCTGACATTTTTTCCAGGGCTAGGGCACCCTGGCCCCACTGTAGTACTGACAAGCTACCTGGTTTCTCTAAATAGGCAAAGGAAGTCTCTCTGACCTGTGGAAACTACAGCTCTTTAAGCTGAGGCAATTATAAATTAAAACTTAAAGAAATGTGAATCTGAAAAAAAAACAGGGACTATTTCTTTTGAACTGTTACAGAGCTTATAAATTTCTACAAAAATACTGTTTCATGTGAGATTTCATTAAGGCAAACATAAAGTAACAAGAAAACCAGGAGTTATATACTTCATAGCAAGTATACCTGCTATTTTATGGAAAAATGAGTACTTACTTGAATAAGATTTTCAATTCTTTTCAAGTCATGTATTACATCATGCCAACTGGCTTCTGTTTTAGGAAGAGCTGCACTGATACAACTGAAAGAAATCCACAGAACAAATCACTTGGAATGAGCATAATAAACAGAGCAATCAAGGTATTTTTTATTTTGATGACTGAAAAGGTTGGTGTTATTTTTGCCTTTGAGAATTTAACAGCCTTATAGGTGAGTATAAACAGGAAGTATGCCTTGAAACTTCAGGCTAACCAGAAGACTGGCCAACCTGGAGGATTAGAGAAAATTCTAATTGGAAGCATAATTTATAAATAACCTGGTATCATTTATCACATGAAATAGAAACAATGCCAGACTGTGGTAGTACTCATTAAATATTTTGAATGAATTAACAGTTTTCTTTACATAGAGGTTCCACGAGACATTCAAGCCTAATAAATAGATGCAGCTCTTAAAATAAGCAACAATCACTTTCATGTAATGACCGTGACAGAAAATGTTCTTTGTGGTAGATTCAGTGTGTCTCTTTTGTGCTGTGGTGCTCATGCTAGTCCTATGCTTGGAGCAGCTTTTTTCATAAACATTATAAACTTCAGCTCAAGCCAGGCTGAATGATCATATACTTACTCTGGTAAAAATTGAAATTTAACATCCAGACAAAAGACACTTCAACTAACCACGTGGCTGCAAAATGATTCCTAGCTTCAAGAAATGTAGTCACTCCCTGATGATTCTCACACAGAAGCATGAGAGTCAGTGCTAATCTGTCTTATGAGGCAGATTTCCCTGTATAAATCTATAGTTCTCTCATACCATGAAGGCAATAGGAGAAGAAAAGTGAACTGGGAGACATATTATATAACAAAAGGTTAAGTGCTTTGGGTCAATTTGGGGCAATATATTAGCTGTATCTAAGAAAGAAGAAAAAAGTTAATAGGCATGGAAAAATATGAGTGTTTCTTGGGAGGAAAAACAAAAGGCCTAACTAAACAGGGAAATGTTTTAAATTGAATGAGGATAGAAATCAAACAGTAAGAGGAATCAGCATTTGGGCCAGATTGAGAAGTAACATGAGCAAATTCTAAAACTCTGCTTCTTACTCTGGGAAAATGTGAAGGATATCAAGAAGCAATGTAGTTTCAAGTTTAGTTAGCTATGAAGAGGCCCAATTTATTTGAGGGATAGAATATCCATTTGTAATATTACCAAGATAATAGAAACATTACCACACTTCTGAATCCCCATAACCTGCCCCCTATTCTACCCCAAACTCTGAGTATCTGGAGACATGAGCCTGAACCTTATGTCAGTGTCTCATTTTAAAACCACCATCCCCACTGACACGATATTTGTGTCTACAGATGAAATTACCCCAAAACAAAGACGTGAATGCCAGCCTCAGTTAAAAAATGACTGTTTAGAAGAAAACACAAGTAGCACTGGATGGAAGTACTCCTCAAATATGGTTTCTGAAAAATATAATCACAGATAAGATGGTAAAATATTTTTAGTTCAAAAGTTATAGATAAAATAACATTTTATCATCTTTTTAAAAAGGAAAGGTTATTATCATTTCATAATTAGAAATCATAAATTAGAAATAAAACTAAAATTAATCTTTGTTTTCTTCTCATCCCACCTCCAACTTATTCTTCTATGTACATGATTCTTTAGTTCATATTTCTCCAGATAAATGCCAATGACAATAATTTAACAGTTCGTATACCTAGTAATTTACATATACACTAAGGTCAGCACTTAATATTTTTTATTATCTTTGAAATCCTCTCATCCTTCTATTTTAATAGGCTAACACATTTTCTACAGCACAGATTAATAATATTCATTAAAAGGTGCATCAATATCCAAATTAATAATATATTAATATTATTAATATATTAATATTAATAACATTTGGATAAAAATGGAACCAACTAAAGATACTCTATCCTAAAAACCATGTATATAATACATGTTCTTGGTGACTTAGGAAAATCATTTATCTTAGAAATCCCCAGTATCTTGATACTTTTGCCTGACTCTTTTGTGTTATCCAACTTTTATAGTTTCAGAAAGCAGTGTTAGCTCCCACCTCAGCTATTAAGTCTGTCCTTCGTTTAGTCTCTGCTGAGGAGACAGAGGATCACCAGATTATGTCCTCTCAGGTTACACACTGTACCGAGCACTCTTTGTTCAAAGAACAAAATGGATTGAGTAAGTGCAATAATGCATTTACGATGACATAAAGAGCGCAGCACAATTGTTAATCTCATTTTTTAAGCAGTATTTCATTTCATTTTAAGGACAGTCCTTAGGAGAGCTCAGATGTGCAACATCCCCCAATTTTTAGAGAATAATAACATCACTTGTTATGAAGTATCTGAGATTCAAGTGACTTTCTAAAGAAAAGCCCTTATGCTATTTTCATCTATTGTTTCTTACCGAAATTCTCATTACTCAGTGTCAGGGTAAATCCTTAAGTATTGAAGAAGAGCTGGCTAAGACCATGGGTTTCCAGCAGCCATCCATCCAGAACTCCACCTACAACACAAGGCAGGGCAAAGGAGGACCATGAAGTCACCAGTGGGTTGGGAGAGGGAGAAAGGGAGGGAACTGATATTTAGTGAAGATTTATTGAACTTTTTAATGGGCACTGTATTAGCTCCTTATATGCATCACATTTAATCCTGTGAGGTGAAATTAGCAGCATTTGAGTCAGCTGCCCCAGCCCCACGACAAGCACATCACAACCATGATTTGACACCAGGTTTTTCTGATTTCAAAGATCAAAAACTTTCTATTATGTTATATCTGAATGGATAAATTCCAGAGCCATATTACTGAAAAGTATACGAAACCAAACACTTCAGACTCATATAACGGCTGATTGACAACCTAATTTACAACAGCAGCAGCTACTTCTTTCTTTAAAAATTAGTACATGTTTGCAGTACATAATGATTACATTTATCAGGGGGTTGGTACATGCATGTAACACAGCTTACTTCTTATGTTGTCCTCAACTCTCCCATCCATACCTGCTCCTTCCAACTCTTGGTCCCCTTCTCCATTTGCAAAAACTCAATTTTAATTTTTTCTTCTCGTTATTCCATCCCCTTTCCCTCCATTCCTTCCTGCCTCTCCATCTCTTCTTCCCCCACCCATTTGAAAAACATCTCCCTATTTCCTATTTATCTATCTTTGTTTTGCTTTCTCTCTCTCTCTCAAGAGAAATCATATGATATTGAAGCTCATGTGTCTGACTTATTTCACTTAATAGTAAGCTTTCAAGGTGCATCCATTTACCTATGAATGCCTCAAGTTTATCTTTCTTTATGGCAGACTAGTACTCCATTGTGTACATCAATATACATTGAATAGATGTCTTCTGATCTTTGAAATAAACAATTGTTAACTGAGACACTGTTTGAGAATTTCATGAATAACAAAATTCTATTTTTTTCTAATTCAAAGTAGATGAATGTAAAAATTAAATATTCCCATATTCAACTTTATTTCATTAAAAGATATTTAAAGCCAAAATATAAAAAATATAAACAATTTTTGCTGTTCCTTGAAAATAATACATATTTATTGACCACACAACACAAAAAATAAGAATTTACCATCTCATCTGACAAAAGTATTCAACTGAAATTAAGTTGCATAAACCCACATAATTATTATACTGTTCACATGTTTTCAAAATATAAAAGTCACTGGTTTACAGTATATTGCTTTTTATTCCTGTATGTTTGCAATACATGACTGTTGCGTCCATTGAAGAATTGGCACATGTATATACCTTATTTTTTTTACCTTGATTATTTTTGATCCCTTTAGCTCCCTACTGCCCCTTCCACTGATTCCCTTCCCCATCTCCAAAATCCCTGCCTTTTTTTTCATACCTTCACTCCCAAACTTTACTCTTTTATTTTAAGTTTCTCAGATAAGAGAAACCATGTGACACTTACCTTTCTGTATCTGACTTAAAATTCACTTAACATTATGGTCTCAAGTTCCATTCATTTTCCTGCAAATGACATGATTTTGTTCTTCTTTGTGGCTAAATAATACTCCACTGTGTAGGCTTACAACAGTTTCTTTATCCATTCATTTGTTGATAGTCATCTAGGATGTTTCCAGATTTTAACTATTATCAATTATGCTGCTATAAATGAGTATTTATGTATCACTACAGTATGTTGTCTTAAGCCAGGAGAGGTATAGCTGGGTTAAATCAAATTTCTATTTTTACTGTTTTTGAGGAATCTCTATACTGATTTCTATAGTAGTAGTACTAGTTTACTCCACCCCCAACAATGCAGCAGGCTTCCTTTTCCCCCACAACCTCACCAGTATTTGTTGCTGTGTGTGCTCTTGATGACAATCATTCTGACTGGGGCAAGACAGAATCTGTGTTGTTTTGATTTTTCATTTCCTGAATGGCTAAAGATGATGAATATTTGCTCATAAACTTACCCATTTGTACTTTTAAGAAGTGTCTGTTCAATTCATTTGCTTATTTTTGATTGGGTTGCTCGATTCTAGAGTTAATTTGAGTTCTTTACATATTCTTGATGTTAGTCCTTCATCAGAAGAGTAGCTGGCAAAGTTATTTCCCCATTCTATAGGTTGTCTCTTCACTCTACTGACTGCTTCCATTCCTTGAAGAGGCTTTTTAACCTGATGTCATTCCATTTGTTAGTTCTCGATATTATTTTGAGTGCTACTGGGAGTTCTGTTCATGAAGTCCTTGCTGTGCCTGTGGCTTAAAGTGTTCCCCTTATGTAATCTCCTAGCAATTTTAAAGTTTCTGTTCATATTGTATATCTAAGTCTTTGACCTATTTTTGTTTGATTTTAGTACAGGGAGACAGGTATGGATCTAGTTTCAATCTCCTGCATGTGGTTAACCAGTTTTCCCAGTACTATTTCTTAAAGAGGCTATTATCTTCTACGAAGTGTTTTGGCCCCTTCATCAATCATCAGATGACTGAGGGTTTGTATGTGGGCAGTTTCTGTGTTTGTTATACTATTCCATTGGTCTGCATGTCTGCTTTAGTGACAGTATCGTGCTGCTTTGGTTACTATAATTTTGGAGTATAATTTGAAATCTGTAATTGTAATGCCTCCAATTTTGCCTTTTTGCTCAGGATTGCTTTGACTATTCTGGGTCTCCTCTGGTTCTATAGAAACTAACATTTATTGAGGGAAATAAGATATATTAATGGTATATCTGATAAGAATTTTTCCCCACAAGAACATATTAACTCTAATCCTCCTGTTACAGATAATCTAATTGCTCGTTTGTTATGGTTTGTATCTATAAGTTCCTCAAAGCCCCATGAGCTCATAGATGGGGCTTTTGGGAGGTAACTGGATGCTGAGGGCATGAGACTCTCTGGTTGTTCAGTCCACTGATGGGTTTAGAGGTCAATGTGATTTAAGAGATGAGGCCTGGTCAGAGAAGGTGGTCACTGGGGGCGTGGCCTGAAAGTATCTGTCTCCCTCCCTCCTCCCTTGATCCTTTTCTGCTTCCTGCCACCTCATCATGAGCTGTTTCTCCTCTGAGATTCTGCCCTGCCTTGGAGTCAGCCAACCATGGACTGAAACCTCAACCAACTATGAAGCAAAATAAATCTTTCTTCCTTAAGTTGTGGGTGTTGAGTATTGTGTCTTGTCAGTAAGAAAAGTAACTAAGACATTATCAATTGGGTAATTTAATGCAATGAAATCATGCTCCTTATTACTCTCACTTTGTAACCATTCTCTTTGTCTACATTCGCTTAGTGCTTCAAATTTCAAATCCTTTTAAGTTCCCTATGGCCTTTTTAGTACATGAAATTCCATGGTTCAAAAATATACTCTTTATGGACTTGGGACCGAATAATACTAATGGTGAGTTCTAAAAAATGTGGTACTGGGGATTGACCCCCAGGTCCTGCATGTTACACAAGCACCACTGACCTGCACCCCCAGCCTTTTTACTTTTGGAGACAGGGTCTCACTAGGTTGCCAACTTGGGCAAGAAGAGGGGAGACACAAGAAATTTCACCAACTCTGTCGTTAAGAGGCACAGGCATTGCTGTGAATAACTAAAAGTGGCTCCTCGGAGAGTTTTAAATTGGGCCCTTTAAACCATTCTGACGTGCAACAAAACTCAAGTCCTTTCACATACATTTTCTCACTGGACTGACAAAATACCTTGCTGTCATGTGGATGTAAAATGTGCCCCACTGGCCAATGTGTCAAAGGCTCAGTCCCGATCGTGGCCCTACTGGAACGGGGGTGGAAGCTGGAAGCCTAGTCAGAGGTCTTCTCATGACTGCGGGTGTCTTCCTAGGGGATTGTGGGCCCATGTTTCTTCCTTTCTTTTTTCCTTCCAGGTCATAATTTGAGCAGTTCTGTCTGCCTCATCAATCATCATGTTCTGCCTCACTGTAGGTTCCAAAACAATGAAGACAAGCAATCAATGACTTAAACTTACTCCCAAACTGTAAGCCAAAACAAACCCCTTCTCTTTATAAATTGATTAGGGTATTTGGTATAGAGTCAGAAAGCTGATTAACACCTACTAGAATGAAAAGGCTGAAACCAATTTAATTCCCTTCTGAGAATACAAACAGAATGCCTAGTGTACATCAGTCATTCACTGAAGAAGTTTCGGTTATGTTTTTGGAGAAGCATGTGAGCAGGGTTTAACCCTTCCCTCCTCACTGCAAATGACCTTGATATGACCTCACCATTAGCTTCTTTGCCTTGCCCTTCTCTCAGCTGAGTGCCTAGATCCTAGAATATAAGAAAGGAAATCCCAACCCTACACTCAGGGAGCTCAGAGCACAGAGTCCTACCAGGATGACAGAGGCCAGGGGCTACACCATGAAGAGGGGACAAATCAATACAGTCAGGCAGCTGTGACAGTTCTATTTGGTAGTGACTTGTGAAAATATCTAAAACATGTTACATTCAACACCAACAGTGTAGCTCTTTCTGGTGAGGAAATATCCAACATTGTGCTATTTTGTTTCCTCACTTATCTAGTCACACATTTAAAATTTAAAGATTTACCAACCAAAAAAGTTATACATATTGATTCACTGGGTAAAAACATCAATCATTCACTAAAAAAAAAAAAACAAAGGCAAGTCATGACTGGGTAGAATGCAAAGAACAGAAGACAGCATCACTGTTCTTGATGCATTTAATACACTTGATGCATTTAGCACCTACTACGGGTAGGTATTTTATATTACCTTCGGACACATAAATAATTGCAAGAGACAAAGAACTTTGATTTTAGGCAAGAAGACAGACCATTTAGAACATACACAAGCAAGACAATTATACATTTTATTAGAGGTGACAAATGATATAGGAAACAATGTACAGAACAAGGTAAGAGACATGAGGTTGTAATTTTGAGTACAATGGTGAGGGTAGACAGCAAGCAGGGGCCAGCAGCAGTGTAAGTTCTCTAGTATTGCTCAAATTCCCTCAGGTAATTAGGACAAAAAGTCAGGAGCAGAGAGTGAGGATGGA